GGCGCCTGGAATACTGGGCATGATCCCCAGCTCTGCCCTTCGCCTTGACCACCTCCTTGCCCCGTTGATGCTGAACTACATACAGCCTTGGGGCAGACAGGCTTTTGGTCTCCCGAGTGGGGATGGGACCCTATCATCCTGCTTTATTTGGATCTCCCCTACCCCCCAGCCGCATGCCCCTTCCCTCCCTCTTTTCCCGCTTGCATGCTTTACCTGTCCTGTACCCATGCCAACGTGCCAAGTCTCCCTTGGGGACCCAGCTGAGGCTGGATGTTCCTGCTGGGTTGGGCCAGGCAAGGCATCTGGTGCTTGCTGCTGCCTCCCTGCAGTGGGCACTGCTAGACCTGTGCCAAGCAACAGCTGTAACTTTCATGGTTTATAACAATAAACTGTGACGCCAGGCACATTTCTGCCTTCCCTGAGCGTGACCATTCCTCTTGGTTTCTGTGCAGTGAATGGGGGTGGAAGGGTTCCAAGGTGCTTTGCTATTGGTCAGGGTAGGGTGCTTGAGGGAAGGAGGTACCCAAGCCAGGTACTCCCAGCCTCCTGCCACACCTGTACTAGGCCCAGGCCCCAGCTTACCAGAGCTGCCAGGAGGCACAGCACCCTGGCTGCTGCGTCAGGTCCTAGACCAGGCACCTGGACAGCCACACTAGGCCTTGCGGGAATGTGGTTCAGGGCCCGGGCATCGTGCCTGGGCCTAAAAGGGTCACGGAACCAGAATCCACTTCCCCATTCCCAGGGTGCCTGGGATCCCACCCTAGGGTTAGCAGTGGGTGTGGCGTTGAGGGGCCAGGGTGGGGGCAGGGTCTGGCGCCAGCTGCCGGATCTGACCCAGCCCCCACTTATCACAGTGGTGTTGACTCTGCTGCTGTTATCACTGCCCAAGGATTTGCTTCACACCCAGGCTACTAAGAATAGAGCTGCCTGGGGGCACAGTGCCAGCAGGAGAGGAGGGTGGCCAGCCCAGTGAAACCCAGGCTGGAGGAGAAGGGACAGCCATCCACTGGCTGAGCCATGTGCTGACAGAGCCGAGTCATCCCGGCCCACCGGAGCAGGCCTAGGAGGTTTCATTTCCTTCTTCCTCCTGTGCCACCAGGAATGGAAGAGAGGTGACTCTTGAGTTCTCCAGCAGGTCACCCTGTGCCCCAGTATCACCTCTTTCCCCACATCTGCTTCTCAAACCCTGCTCCTTACCTCCTTTCCACCTCCAACCTCCCAAAGTCCCTTCCAGGGTTCCTCAGGGACACATTCTAATGGACCCTCCTATCCACCAGTTGCAGACTGAAAGATCACAAGTTGGCAACATTTTATTGTGACGAGGCCACATTTTATTCAGTCATGTTGGGGTCCTCACCTCCGTGGCCAGAATTTCTAGGCCAATCCTCCTGAGAGCTACCACGGCCCCACTGTCCCAGGCATATCCCCCAGGGCACAGCTGGGCTTCACCAGGCTAAGATGGGTTAGGGGGCTTGGTAGAGCCTCTGAGGGAGGCTGTGAGCAGCCCACCCGGATTCCCAGCTCATCAGCCCAGATTGGGGGAGGGGGGCTCTGGCAGTGGAGAACCTGAGGCACTTCTGGTAGCTGAGGCTGAGCAGGTGACCTGTCCCTACAAGTTGGCAGAAGTGGCTGCCACTGCTGGGTTCGTGTAAGAGAGGCTGCCTCCGCCGTTGCCTGCAGACACCTGGGTGGAGGGAAAAGAGATCCAGGGTGAGGGGTAAAAGCTGTCTCTTGGGACCGCTGGATGGCTCCCCAGTCTGGGGTAGTCAGCCCAGGGACTGGATCAGCCTTCAAGGGGTTAACTTGGAGACAGCACCTGCAGCCCCACCAGCAGCCAGGTGACTGTAAACAGCCCGCTCCTCTCACTGCTCCCTTCCACTCCCTCCCCAGCGCTGCTCAGCCCCCTTGCCTGCCCAGCCTGCACCTTGCCCGCTTCTCTCTCCATTTTCTGCTCCTCCAGCCCAAGTGGGAGGTTGTGTGCATGGAGCATATAAAACCGGGAGCAGGCGATCCCCAGAAGGAGAGAAAGGGAGGCAGGAAAAGGAAACTCATCTCCTCCCCCACTGGAGTGGCTTTCCAGTCCAGGGTGACTGCTGTAATTATTTACTAGGTCCTGCACAGAAAGGCAGTGTGTGTGTGTGTGTGTGTGTGTGTGTGTGTGTGTGTGGTGGGGGGGGTGTCCTTGCTTCCCTGAGGCTCCCAGGAACCCCTCCACTCTGCTCACCTGATTTGGTGAGATTTCTTCCTCTCCCCTGGAGACCCCCCCAGCCTTTCTCAATCTACTCCCCACTCCAAGGAGGAGGTGAATGGGGCCCAGTGTACTCCTGTGACTATGCAGGAAGAGCTCCCCTGGACACACTGCCCCACCCATTTTGCCTCTGGGCATCCTACTGAGCACTGCCCTGGTGCCCATTCAGCCAGTGGTGAATGTGGACAGGTAATGAATGCTCTTTGGGGAATGTTGGTAATGAGGTTATTCCAACCTGAGGTCCCCTTGCTTCCTTGATCTCTTTCCCAGACCTGTGCCCCAGAGCACCTCCAAGCACCCCCACCAATCTTGCCAGGCTCTTTAAGGCTCACCTCTTACAAACTCTTTGGGTTTCCAAATATCCCCCTGGGACACCTCCCCAGCCAGAGCCTCTGCCTCCATTCCCTGCTTGGGGGGGCCCAGCCTCACCTCCTCATAGGGGCTACGGTTGGTACTTCCAGGGGGCATATAGCGCCCATGGGTGTGATAAGTGGGGTATTCACTCATAGGATGGTAGGTTTCCCGGGATGGAAAGATATCCAGATGCCCATAGTTCTTCTGGCGACACTGACACACCGCCTGGGGAGACAGGAATGTATGCTGGACCACAGGGTTCCGTCTACCAGGGGATTCCAGTGAAGGCCAGAGACTGAGTACTTACCAAGGCAATGAGATATAAGATGGCCAACGCAAGTAGAACACAGACCAGCACCAGCAGGGCAATGCCCCAGCCTGGTACCCCAGACCCAGACTGGGCAGAGGAAGGAAACAGCACCTCATTCGCTAAAAGGAAAAGCAGTGGTCAAGGAAGTCTCCAAAAGGAGGTAACCCTCCTTCTGCTAGCACCAAAGGAAAGAGCACAACTGTAGGGAGAGGAGACCCTTCATGGGGCTCGGCTCTAGTTGGGGATATAGCCTCACCCTTGATTCTTGAGATGTTCAGGTTATAATTGGATCCTTCCTCTTTAAGCTGATAAAACTGTGACATTACTTCCTTGGCATTGGTGGTACCCTCCCGGAAGACGAGAGTCAGTTCTGTCACCACAGATCCTGGTCTGGTCATAGGAAATAATCAATTCAGCCAAAGGTTCCAGCTTTTGGCTCATTATTTCCCCCCAACCTTAAACACAAGGTCCCGCACAACATTTATGACCACAAGCCCCAAAACACACACACACAGTCTGACCCAGAACTATACCTGAACATGATATTAAAGAGGCCCAGAAAATCATCTTGTTTATAAACCTGGAAAACCTGGGTGAGAGGAAAAGGACTCAGGCTTAATGCAAAAGATTGAAATAATTCTGAAAGCTGCCCTACGGGAGTATGGCAAAAGAAAGGCAGATACCCACCAATTCAGAAATGTTCCTCTGCAGTTCTTGATAGTAGTTGGTTCTAGGGTTTTCCAGGGAAGAATTAAACTTGAGGTTTGAAATGTAAAAAGACAGGGAGAAGAAAGAGACCCTAACATATACCTGGGAAGGAGAACTAAGATTGGAGGAGGTGAAGGGAGGCACTGTGCTATGGCTATTGCTACTGGCAACAGTACTGTTGCTCATGTTGGCAGCGGTGGTGGAAATGTCAGACGGCTGGCTGGAAACTGAGGATTTAGTACCCTTGTCAAGTAGGGTTGTAGTAGCCATAGTAGAAGTGCCACTGTGTACTGAAGTGGCAGCTGAGGCTGATGAAGTCCCTGCAGTTGGGGCTGAAGTGTTATTGTGGGCTGGGGTGGAGGCTGAGCTGCTTGGAGCCCCAGTGGT